GGTGGATCACCTGAGGTCGGGAGTTTGAGACCAGCTTGACCAACATGGAGAAAGCCTGTCTCTACTAAAAATACAAAATTAACCGAGCATGGTGGCATGCGCCTGTAATCCCAGCTACTCTGGAGGCTGAGGCAGGAGAATCACTTGAACCCAGGAAGTGGAGGTTGCGGTGAGCCAAGATTTCACCATTGCACTCCAGCCTGGGCAACAAGAACGAAACTCAGTCTCCAAAAAAAAAAAAAGAGAGATAGATTGTCCTGTTGTCCTGTCTATTGTTTCCTGTTGCTTTGGTCTCATGTGGGGCTATGGGTCTTCAGCATCCAATGTAGGGACTTGGGTATGGTGACTTGTGCCCGTAGTCCCAACTACTCATGAGGCCAAGATGGAAAGACTGCTTGGGTCCAGGAGTTTGAGTCCAGCCTGTGCAACATAGCAAAACCCCATCTCTAAAATAAAATAAAATATTAAAAGCAAGGACTTGATCAAATGTAAGAATTTACATTTTTACATACTTGATCAAATGTAAAAATTTACAAGGGGCCGTATGTGGTGGCTCATGCCTGTAATCCTAGCACTTTGGGAGGCCAAGGCAGGTGAATCACCTGAGGTCAGGAGTTCAAGACCAGCCTGACCTACATGGTGAAACACCGTCTCTACTAAAAATGCAGAAATTAGCCAGTCATGGTGATGCATGCCTATAATCCCAGCTACTTGGGAGGCTGAGGCAGGAGAATGGCTTGAACCCGGGAGGCAGAGGTTGCAGTGAGCCAAGATTGTACTCTAGCCCCTGGGCAACAAGAGCAAAACTCCATCTCAAAAAAAACAAAAAACTGAAACAAAAAACAAGGAACCAGGAGAGAAGAGACAGAAAATCAGGAAAGATTCAGATGACACAAGACCATAGGTGAAATTTTCTAGTAGAGCAGGAGAACTGGCTGCCTTACCAAGTGATAAAGGCAGGAAGAAAAACCTCTTCAAACATTCCAAGAAAGAACTGGCTATTCTTATTAGCTCAGAATACCTCACATTAGATATTTTGTATTGTTTAAGGGGGAAACTGTTGAAGATGGTGAAAGAGTCATTAAAAGATTTGCCTGGAGTCCCACAAGCAAGATAGCAACAAGGCTGAGAATAGGTCCTAGCCTCAGAATATACTTTATTTTTTGTGCGTTGGGTTTGTTTGTTTGTTTGTTCATTGAGTCAGGGTCTTAACGCTCATCCAGGCTGTAGTGCAGTGGCTCATTGCAGCCTCGACCTCCTGGGCCTAAGTGATCCTCCCTGTTCAGCCTCCTGAGTAGCTGGGATCACAGGTGTGTGCCACCACACTGGGCCAATTTTTAATTTTTTTGTAGAAATGGCATCTCCTTATGTTGCCCAGGCTGGTTTGGAACTCCTGGGCTTAAGCAATCCTCCTGCCTTGGCCTCCCAAGTGTTGGGATTACAGGTATGAGCCATTGTGCCTAGATTTTTTTTTTTTT